CTACTTAATAGCTATGTAACAACTTATACTGACATCAAAGTTTATAAAACTTCATAAATAAAAAAGTCCATCAGGCACCCAACCATCTTTAGTTCCTTAATATTTTCGAACCAAATAAACAAGTATAAAAATAAATATTAATTTATACTAATAATTAATAGCATTTTAACATAATTATTAGAATTCCAAACATAATTTAATAACTAATTTATAAAGACACCTATTAATTACTATTGGATGAAATTAATTTTCCGTACATCATTTTATTTCTTATTGTTGAATATACTTAGTTATAATTTATGACTAGATATTAAAAAAATAATTTATTTGGAATACTTCCATAATTTACTTCATAAATCAAATGTTTCCTATCGGTTAATGTAAGGTGACACCCAACTGAAACCACAAATGATTTTGTGAATATTTTGCGGCTTACGGTTTGTGGTTTGCGCTTGAATTACATTCAAAATTGGCGTTTCCCATTGCATTAGCTAACAACTAAAATGTTTTAGGCAATATAAAATACGAGTAGCTTTGGTTTGTGGTGACTTACAAAATAATACCGGTATCTCATTACTTATAATTCCTTATTAGCAAAATTAAATAGTTTAATGGTTAAGTTAAGAAACCTGCCTCAAAAAAATCTATGAGAAACGTTAAGCATCGAATGGCTTATATTTTTTTATAATTTCAACTTGATTCATAAAAAATAAAAATGTAGTTGCATAATTTCTTTTAATTTTTTTTTTTTTTCAAGTATTTCCTGAAAAAAAATCTCTGTTGCACCAATTAAAATTACTCATAAAATAAATTCATAATTAATTATGTGCACTATATTTTGAAAAATAAATTTCATTTTTGACTAAAATTTTTTTTAATTTGTAAATAACAGAGTGTTTAATCAAAAACCAATTCATTTTAAGCTTAAAATATTAATTTTTCCTTCTCCACTCCTTTTGGGTGCATAGGTTTGTTTTTAAGCGGATCTTGTTCTAGGCAGCAATCAATGCATCGTCAGAAGTTTGGCCTACTTATTGCTAAAAATTCATTAATCATATTTTTTGTTTATTAAGTAAGTGATTGACAAATGCAATGTAACCTAATAATGTGGCAACCATTTTATTGGCATATAGAAGGTTTTTTTTTTGTTTTATTATTATAAACGATTCTTAAAATATAGACAAAAAACGTATTAATATTGCACCTAGTACAAATAACAAATAAGAGGTACTAATAAGCTATTTTATTGGAATATTTAAGGCAAAAACGAAGCTATTTTGCTATTCGCTATCCATTAGGTCTGCCACTGTTATCCTTTTTAGCAGTATAGGTAGTGCAATCGCCTAGAGAAGACTGAATGCTGTAACGTTGACATGTGTTTTCCAACGCCGTTTGTGAGCAACGGCACGCCTTTTAGTCACGTCGTCGACTATTGGCATGCCAAGGTCACGGTGGAAATCACTGTTTCTAATATAGTATGGAGCATTTACGATGTAACGTAATACTTTATTTTAAAAACGCTGAATAGTTGCAATGTGTTTCTTGCTGGCACAACCCCAGAAAGCTTTAATAGTTGTTACACAAGCTAAATTGATGCCTTTAGCTATTATAAATAGTTTCTGTCTTCGGTGCTGTCCTCATGTATGTTTTGTTGTGATTTCAATCTGCTTTATTTCGTTCCGAAAATTTCGATATTAATGTAATGTAAAAATTAGTTAAATGCGAATGTGTCCTATACAAGCAATCATGGACCCTCCACAAACGATTTCAAGTTATTCCAGCCTAATGCAATGGTTAATTCGGTCGTCTACTACTCACAACTCAACCGCTTAAACGAAACAAGGAAAATTAACCAGGATAGGCTAACAGAAAAGGAGTTATTTTCCATCATGACACTGGCAGATCAGACACACGTTCAATAACTCGGAACAAATTGATGAAACTTTGGACCTTGCACCATCTGAGTACCATTTATTTCAGTCTCTTATTGAAACTGTCCTAATAGTAAAAAATTAGCCAACCTTTAAATTATTTGACCAATTTTTTTTTGAAGATAAGCCACAGAAATTCACAGACATCGATGGAACTATAAAAGTATCCAAAAAGTTTTATAATCTCATAAAAATTGATTTTTAATAAAAAAATATTTGTTCAAAAATGTACCAAAAAACCACTGATACTTTTTATATCACCAATATATTAATAATCTCCTTCTGAGCACATTAACGCGATCAAAATGAAGAATAGTTGTTTCTAAGTGTAGGTGAATACTCGTATAAACACGCGCCTTAATTAAATCTTTAATTGAATTCAAATTTAATTATATTAGTAAACATTATTTTTTGATCATTATATAACCAGGGGATTTGTCCATCAACAGATAACAGTCTTTAGTTATACCTCATTGCTATTTTTGCTAATTACCAAATGTTTGCAGGCCGGGTTGGCTAGCCATTTTTAGTTTTCTAAGCGGGCAAATGACAAATTTTCAATCATGTATAACTGATTAAAGGATTGGAAACTAGGAGGAGTAGGAGACTAAACGTATTTATATTTTAAAAAGTATTTTGTTTCAGAAATTAATTTTACTGTATGTCCGCTAATTCACTGTGTTCCGCTCAATGTCTCTAATAAAAATAAAAACTCGACACCATCTTCACTGAAATATCAGTTGATAAATTTATGACATTTCTAATATTTTTTAATAAATAACAAATTAAAATAGAGATGAAATTACCAAACAAAAATAAACTTAAGACAACAACTATAGTCCTTATATGCACTACATTTAACCTAAGGTGAGCAGTTACTGCATACGTGAATGAACTAAAGGGCCTTACTTTATAATTGATATGAATTAAATTAAAATCAACTTCCTGTTTTTCTTCTTCTTCTTTTTTGTTTGACCAAGCACGAGTTAGTGTCTAAAACACTTTTACTCCATACTTTCTGTGACCACTTAGATGATCCACTGTAATAAGAATTTCGTTAAGTTCTGGTAATATTATTCAGATATATGTATTGCATTCAATTTAAAAGAGTGCTATTCTGAATTAGTCTACGCATTTACAGTATCTAACAATTTCCTTTAAATTGCATTTCATTGAAACATAAAAATATCTAAAAGTAAGCAGACATTGTAAGTCCCAAGGATTGAATTCGTGCTCTGCAAATTTTGAAGCTCAAAGGCAGTGTTCCTCAGCATTTGGCAGGGCACGAGTTCATCCGTATCAAGAGATGAACTCGTGCAGTCGCAAACAATTATTTATAAAAATTATATATAAGAAATAATTCTAAGACCACTGATGACAGGTATTTGTCAATACTGAAAACTGCTATATAATCAGCCTAAAATTCAATTAATTAATGTTATGTTATATAAAGAATTTTTGTTATTTTTTAGTACACTACTTTTCAAAACCTCTCTATTAAATACAAGAGTTTCTATTGAATAAAATAGTCACTATTGGTTTTAAAATCAAATTTCATATTGATTGTTCTTCTTGAGTTAGCGCTATTACGCACTTTTACTCTATAATAGGTGGGGGGCTTATCTCTACCCCACACTAGGCTTTAACTAGGCTAAGAAATCATATAATTTATTTGTCTTTTAGTTGATGACGGACCTTAAATCAGCATATCTTCCTGAGAGTCCAAAAGTGGACTTGAGGATTGTTAGGGCGAGGTTAAGTAGCGCATCAACTTTAGTGAATAATTTTAGAGCTCTGTCTCTGATATATCTTTTCACTGAGTCAATCCTAAGATCTAAGTATATCTGTTGATCTCATATACCATGGAATCTTAAACAGTCTTCTTAAAGCCAGGTTCTGTGCTATATGTAATTGCTTTTTGGTAGTATTTGAATGAATTACTTTAGTAAATGATGTCAAGTACTTTTTTATATTCTCTTGTGACATGATATCTTATTCTCTGTATTAAACAACAATGTATTTAACACTTCATTTTGAGAATTACACTTTTTTCATACATACTCGTTAAATCTTTTTTAAAATAACTTACACGTAATAAATTCTAAAATAAATCACAAATTCCGTAAATAAATTGTTTTAAAAAAAATTGTTAAGTATTTTTTTTTCTAAAATTGCAAATTAAAAATCATTTATCGCCAGTTTGCGAAATTCTTCCTCATTGCCTCCGAAATGTGAACGATTTTAATGAGATTCTTATCATTAACACTGAAAAGAGCTACTGAATACCTAATTGATGAAAATTTAAAAAAAACTTTCTTTTTTATGCAATTAAACTATAATCAAATATACGAATTTGAACAAATTTTTGTTAAACGTTGTACAAATTTTACAATTTTAACCCATCGATTAAGTATTAAAAAAGTGAACCTTAAGGGTCCCCTGAAATGATCAGTAATTTTATGAGGTGCCTTAGTTCAATTAATCGACCGCCTTTGAATTGAAATTAAGTTAAAATCATTTGTGTGGATGAATAGTTGCACTTGTGGATTTTATTGCCAAAATGTGTTTAAGTCTGATTTTAATTCGTACTTTTGTATAATTGAAGGCATTGAACGCGATGGCAACGGAATTGTAATATTTGTCGCGCGTTGGTCTTCACTTTCAAACTGCGCCACATTGGCAATAAAGCTGAAGTTACGCAGATATCTTGGTTTTGGTAAGTTGACTATGTCTTGTGGAAAAATTTGTATGTGCACAAAGACATACGCACTGGGCTTACCCGATTTACGTGCGGGGAATACGAAAACTATTATAAAAAAATCGATTTTTGAGTTTTTTTTCGATTGCCACAAAGTCTAAGTGTTGGAAGACAATATAACACAGAATTGAAAAAAAAAAAATCTATAATAATGCAAAAAAAAACAACTTACCTACCACCAACAAAGTGTATATACTAGCATTTTTGGGGCCCATCATGCTGATGACACTGTCAAATATTCAAATTTTCTGAGACCTTTTTTTGCGAGTATAAAAAGCACTGAATTTTTGGAAATGGTATGTCAGTTCAATTTTAAACAACCGACAGTGATAACTAAATAAACCTAAGCACACAATGAGTCCATTTATTGTAAGTACTCAATTCGTATCCTCTGGAAGTACAAGGCAAACGGATTACTGCCTAGAAAGAAAATTAGTTGATGAGTTCTGGAGTTTAAGCAAAAATTAAATTTTTGCAATTCTTGAAATGCTTTCAACTACAAATATCGCAACCAATTTGCATATTTCTAGACTTTTATAAGAAATTTTTATTTCACAGGTAGTAGCTGTTCTTTCCACCTTAGCACTATCAGCTAATGCTGGTTTAGCGCCATTCGCAGCACCACTTGCAGCACCTGCACCATTGGCATATGCTGCATCTCCTTATGCTGCTTATGCTTCCTCGCCTTATTTTGCTGCACCAGCTGCATTATCAGCAGCACCACTTGCAGCAGCACCTCTTCTATCCGCGCCTGCACCACTTGTTGCCAAAACTTTTGCTGCACCTGCCCCAGTTATAGCTGCTGCTCCTGCACCGCTCTTTGCTAAGGCTTTTGCCGCTCCAGCACCAATTGTTGCCGCAGCACCTGCACCGCTTTTTGCTAAGACTTTTGCCGCACCAGCTCCAGTTCTTGCCGCTGCTCCATTGGCTGCAGCTCCATTAGCCGCTGCTCCATTAGCTGCTGCACCAGTTGTTGCTGCTAAAGCCATTGCCGCACCACTCGCTGCTCCAGTAGCTGCCCCTATTGCAGCAGAAGTTGTTGATCCTCATCCACAATATACTTTCGCTTATGATGTACAAGACAGTTTGACTGGTGATTCTAAAACACAAGAAGAAACTCGTGATGGTGATATTGTACGTGGCTCATACTCTTTAATTGAACCTGATGGTTCCCGTCGTATTGTCAACTACTATGCTGATCCCATCAATGGTTTCAACGCTGTTGTTCAAAAGGATGTACCTGTTGCCCCAGTCGTTGCTGCTAAAGCTATTGCTGCACCAGTCGTAGCGGCACCAGCACCAGTTGTTGCCAACACTTTTGCCGCTCCCATTGTTGCCTAAACTAGTTTCTTAAAAAAATAAAGTCGTCATGTACCTTAAGTCCAATATTACAAAAAAATGTATCAACATTGACTGATCGCAGAGTGAAGAAATTTCTAAATCAGAGACGTAAGCAGACGTGAACAGTAAATTTCAATAGAGGACCTTCATTTGTAAATATATAGACAATCATTGTCGTTTTAAAATTACTTTCATCATTATAAGATTTTTTGATAATAAAAAAATTTTTAAACATTTCTTGAAACTCACGCAATTTTATTTATAAGGAATGTATCTATCAGATACAAATTTATTTGGAACTCGTAAAATTTCTCCATTGTAACCAACGACTTGTGAGACGCTGCTTTGACTTGTTGATACAGTACTTTTCTTTTATATTTGGATTCTTTTTCCTCGTGATCTCGATTATCAAACTCTTTTTAAATGTGGTATATGAATATTATACTATATGCCTTCTAAAAAATATACTGATTCGATAGCCTTAACAGTCGACTGTTGTACCTTTGGTCACCTTGGACAGCTTTCACTGATTGCTATTCACTGAGCTGACTGCCATTTTATACCAATGAAAAAATTCGTTTTATTTTGGCCAACTGTGAGCAAATACGGCACCCATTTCAAAAGAAATATTCTAATGAATAAATGTCAGTTTTAAATGAATTCCACAAATTCTGATGATGTTTGGTGTGTCAGTTTTCTCTTACAACTTAACTTCTATGACATATTATGCACAGGATTAGCCTATGTATTAGGTCAGTCTTCCAACTACTAATTATTCCCTCTCTTTGTAGTTATTGTATGTTTAATAACACATTATTGAGAGAATATAAAATCCCATTTTGTCACCATAACATTTTTTAACATATTTCATAGTTTATCGAATCTTTAAATTCTAACATGAAACATGGGTAGAACTCATAATAAATCAAAGTTGTTCTCGCAAGGTAAATAAAGCGTTTATGGTTTAAAGCGTTTTTATCATAATAGTTTTCCGAGTAATGCTATTTATTGTCTTTATGGTCCAGGATTGTATTAATATGTTCCAGGATTCATAATAGATGAAAATACGAAGGCTATAGGTGGAAGTTATGCCGCCTCATCCATAGCCATGAAGATTTAATGCCTTTTAACTGTCATTTTATTTTTATTTTTTAAGTAATAAATAATAAAACTTTATTATTATTATAGTCAGTCTAACATTTCCGACTATAATAAGAATATAATATTTATATCATATATTATAATTATGTCTGTATCATCTATATCTATACTAAATATTTCTTCTATCTTTTAGTGAAGTGGCGGAAGAATTCTGGTCATTATCAAATCATGAAAATGGTGCACGCATGCGTTTAAAATTAGAGCCACAACTTTATCCCAATAGACATGAGAATGCTGCCAGCTTACGTGATAATGCTGTTAATGCTTACGATACAAAGTAAGTTTCCAGTTTAAAAATATCCGATTCGTATCTAACGAGTTTCTTTAATTTGCAGAGAAATCTCTGAATTTGATTCTACAATCAAAAATGCTGTAGTGCGAGATTTTCTAGCAGATGATGAAAATTCACAGCTTGAAGAGGAGCTACGCTTATCTATTGAAGCGCAATCTCAACAAGATGCAACACTTGAGAAATCTGTTATCTCGCAGGATTGCGAACTTATAACGCTGATGACAAAAGTAAAAGGCAAGCTCGAGGTTAATCAAACATTGTTCATATTTGTTGATTTAAGCCCACCCGCAGAAACAGGTTCAAAACACGATTTTCGGTATGAATCCTTCAATTATTTATTTCATATTTATTAAAGTTTTCAATATTACTTTATAACAGATTTGCTATAAGTAAAATACGTGAAATACATTTACGAAAATACAATTTAAGACGTAGTGCATTGGAAATATTTTTAGTAGATCAAACGAGCTACTTCTTGAATTTTACAACAAAAGTAACAAATAAAAATGATTAATTTTAAAATAAATTAAAAGATATACTCATTTATAGACACGAAACAAAGTATTTACTAAAATACTAAGCTTACAGCCACCAAATATATTATATGGTTCTGGACGTTCACCTATAGAACTGCTGAGGGCTTCAGGACTTACACAGAAGTGGGTAAATCGTGAAATATCCAATTTTGAATACCTTATGTACCTTAACACTATTGCAGGTAAACTATTTAATCATTTAATAATTTTTTAGTTAAAAAATAATATTTTCTTTCATCACCAAATAGGTCGTACCTACAATGATCTCAGTCAATATCCTGTATTTCCATGGATATTGTCTGATTACACCAGCGATATACTTGACTTAACAGATCCAAAATCTTTTCGAGATTTATCAAAACCTATTGGTGTGGTGAGTTTGCATCCAATTTCTTATAAATACATAATAAATTTTACGCTCTTTTTTTTCAGGTGAACCCAAAAAATGAAGTTGAGGTGCGTAATAAATATGATTTATTCGAAGACCCATCTGGTGCAATACCTCAATTTCATTATGGCACACATTATTCGAACTCAGGTGGTGTATTGCATTACTTGCTACGTATTGAGCCATTTACCTCATTGCACATAGATTTGCAAAGTGGCAGATTTGACGTAGCTGATAGGCAATTTCATTCTATACCTCAAACGTGGAAGCTGCTCATGGACAATCCTAATGATGTTAAAGAATTAATACCCGAATTTTTCTATTTTCCAGAATTTTTAAAAAATTTGAACAAGTAATTTTTATATCTTACAGTATGGCATAAATACAGGAGCTTTCCTTAATCCAAAAAAAAATAAATAAAATAAAACCTCGAGTATGTTTTAAATATTATATTAAGCAGAATAGACGTGTTAAAGAAAACTCTAGTCAGGAAAACCTTTTGTCTGACTTTAACTTTAAAACTCTAAAACGATTTATCCACAGTTTAATATCATTTTTCATATGTCGATACCTATTATCTTTGAATTAATTTTTATTCAAGAATTTACCTTCTATTTTTCTATAAGCAAATTTTTTTTCGACAAGAACAGCATAAATTCCGTAGTCCTTACGAGTACTAATTAATAGAATTTTATATTTTTGGATTAAGAAATCAGCTCCCGCATTAATGTTTCGTTACTATATTTAAAATGTTTTATAATTTATTTATTTCAATTTGAAGACTTGATTTGGGATACCTTCAAATTACCAAAGAAAAAGTTGATGATGTTATACTGCCACCTTGGGCTACAACGCCAGAAGAATTTATAGCAATACATCGTAGAGCTTTAGAATCCGAATATGTTAGTCAAAATCTACATCACTGGATTGACCTAATTTTTGGGTGAGTTTAATTTGTTTAAGAGAAGACCGATCATATAAACTACGATTCATATTTTTAATTAAAGGTATAAACAAAAAGGTCCTAAAGCTGTCGAGGCACTTAATGTTTTTTATTATTGCTCATATGAGGGAGCAGTTGATTTGGATAAAATTACGAATCCCGTAGAACGAGAAGCAGTGGAAGGTAATGAAAATATTATTTTTAAAAAATCGCATATAAAACAAAGTTTTTTTTATTTAAGGAATGATTAATAACTTTGGACAAGTTCCATCGCAGCTTTTACGTGAACCTCATCCACGCCGCTTAACACAAGATGAAACTGTTTTAAAATTATTACGTGCCGAATTAAAACGACCCGATCTAACCCAGTTCCTCGATAAGGTTGTGCAATATTATTGTGAACTCTCAACGCCAAAAGATCCATGTGTCTTCCTTAGCATGCCTCGTAGCCCGCCACGCTCATTTTTACAATTAAGTCCTGATGTTCTTGTTAGTATATCAAAATCATGCATACTTGGTTGTAATTCTTGGATGTCTTATGATAGAGATAGAGGTTTTCTACTTGAAATTGATGCAACAACAGCAAATTTAAAGTAAGTTTTATATATTCAATTGTACAAAATAAATTTTACATGAAAGAAAATTTCAAATTTTAAGAAATCGCAAACGAATTTTTGGTCCTTTGCATCCTTCGCAAACTCCGCACTCACAAATGTTTGCTGTCAGTACAGATGGCAAACTACTTTATGTGGGTGGTATTTGGGATAATTCGTTACGTGTTTATAATTTACATAAAGGTAAAGCTGTTGCTTCTGTTACACGTCACTTAGGTAAGTTGTTTGTAGTATTTTACTTTATGTCGTTTTAACAGGGTACATTTTTTAATTCATTTTACATTTAACAGATATTATAACATGCTTAGCATTGGATAATTGTGGTTCATACTTAGTCACTGGTTCAAGAGATTGCACTTGCATTATTTGGAGCATACAAACTCAACAATTTGGTACCAGCCAAACAAGCAACATTCCAGTGCACGCATTAACTGGCCAAGCTCATCTACAAGCGGTTACACAATTAAACACACAAAATAATTTTTCACCAAAACCCTTGACAACTTTATATGGTCATGATGATGCCATTTCCAGTGTAGCCATTTACACCGAATTAGACTTGGTTGTTTCTGGTTCTTTGGTAAGTAATTTATTATAAAGAATTATATTTTTTATTATTTGTTTATATATTTTCTTTGCTTGATTTTTAGGATGGCACTGTAAATGTATATAGCATACAAGATGGACAGTTTATACGCACATTAAAACCTTTAGGTTGTACCGAATTTTGTGTTCAAATCTCATATGTAACGCTTTCATATCATGGTAAGTAAAGCGATTTATTACTTCAACTATCATTATTGAAAGACTTATATGACTTTTTCATTATTTTTTAAAAATAAATATTTATTATTAGCAAAAAGTGAACTTAAAACAGTTTAGAAGATTTATTAATTTCCTAAATTTTTATAAGATTATTAACACTATATAAAAAATACGATGTAAACGCATTTAAGCAAAAATAAAAACTAACCTTCTTCCAGACTTAAAAGACAATTATTAGGAATTATAATGCGTTATATACTAATTTTTTAATTGTTTACTTATTCGTTTTTAAACTTGCCTATGTGTAAGGTCAACGGCATTGCTTTATAAAACGAGATACGATTCCCCTAAAATTATGCAACGGAATTGTTCGTTTCTTTTAACAGTTTTAAAGTTACTATAAAATATATTTGAGGGTTTCGTTGCCAGTTGTAAGTTGCTATTCAAAGTAGTGTATTAAACATGCTTTTTAATTTTAAACGAAAAGTGGTGTTCACACCAACACATTCGTTTCATCATAAAATAAATAATATGAATATGTTATGCAAAAATGGAAAAAATGGAAAGGGTTGCCAATTTAGTGAATTTCTCATTAGAAAAAAAAATTGGTGCACAGTTATTTAGGGAAAAACATGTTGAATTTAAAAAAAATATTCATGGCCATTAATAAATTTTATTTTTAGACAAAATCAAAATTATGGTTGCTTTCAATGCAAATTAAAAAATTGAGAGTGAGAGAAAAAAACAAATGTCGGCTTAAATTCGATCACGAGGCCTGGCTATCTGTACCTTGTCACTCAGTCAAAGTCGTTTTGTATGTATATATGTATTGTTTTCTTTAAAATTTGAGCATAACTGAAAAGTACAAAAGTAATAGTAAAAATAGGAAATTAACAAACTGATGTGACACTGCTGCCTACAGCCTAAGTAAAAAATTGCAATAACAGATTTATTTTGGTCAGTATTTAGTTATTTGTGGCATCTCATATGTCGTAAGTCGATTTATTCTGCAGGCGACTTAATAGATAATAACCAATTATATTTCATTGTGAATATCATTTTAAATTTGATTGTGTCTTATAAGAAATTATGGACATTTTCTTTAATTGTTTAGAAAGTTTAGCGTCAAGTAAAATAAAAACTATATCAAACTGAAATTCAAACAAATGTACTATTTTGTAAATTGTGAATAAGTTCTTTATGGATTCAAAATATCGACATAATATTTCTCTAAACTTATTATCATAAGCTGTATACACTTAATTCTGTACAAACATTAAACGAATGTGCATATAGCCACCAAATTAGGTATGACTTTTATTAAGAAAAATTCAGTATAACATCAAAGTGCAGCACCAATGTTATTAAAACATTGTATTCCATTGTCGGCAATATGTTGATATATGGGATTTCTTTGTCACGTTATTAACTACTATAAATCGCCATAATGCAGATAAGCATTGTTCGAACAAAAAATTGTTCAAACAGGATCAGTGATACCATTCGAATGTGTTTTCATTTGTAAACTTACTTTGTACTATAAGTATAAAAATAATGGAATAGTTTAACTAACATATCACTACTTAACCTAACTTGCTTACCAATAGGTTAGTTTAAGTTGGGTTACGTTCCTAATCTAACTAACCTAATCTACTGGTATATTATCAATAAGAAAACATAATCCGAATTGCATTAACAACTTGCTTCAAATGAAAGAAAATAAATACTCATTGAAGAAATGTCTTGACTGAATATCTCATTTTTTTTTTGCTCTATCCAAAGCAACAGCTAGAAAATCATTTTAATTATTTTAAAACAAAGTGTAAAATTTAATTTAAATTAATAATGCAACTATTTTACGAAACTTAAATATAATGATCAATATAATGACCAATGAACTTCTTTATTAGATTTTTGTATACTTCATGCAAATACGGACACTATTTGGAATATCTTATCTTATTTAAATATTATATGTCTATAAATTTTTTTTAATTTTTTTTTTTTAATTCGTCCCTCAAACGATTGTTACTCAAATATAAATTTATTAAGTCTTATCAGTGGAAAATTGTAATGAGTATGAAATTTCAACACAAGTGACAAAAGAATTTCAATTTGGTTTCACGTGATTGAGGTCTCGTGTTATATATACAATACGTATATTTGTATATATATTTGTTGCAGATACTGTATATATGTTAAACCGTATAATAGACGATCATTGTTCGAAAGCCTACTTAAAGTTCAAAGCAGTTTCTATATGCTGAGGCCATTTGTGCGTGTCTTCAACACTTACTAACTACGCTGTTGAAATGCACAGAATCCACTATCTTATCAGTTGCAATAGTCACTTTATGTGTTCTACATGCTGTTCAGAATTTTATGTATTTATACAAATATATATATATACATTAAAACATATGCACATATAATAAATCTAGCAATCGCCTGATTTTAAGCTCTTTGATTTTGCTATGGACTTTATGGCATTATTGATACGTTAATGTTATATGTATACACAATTACTCTAAAAAGAAAAAAATGTTTAGTACAACGTTCTTGCAAGTCTTATCTGTTCATTAATAAAAATAAATAAAAAAAAAGCTTTGTAATTATGCACATTCATGAGAAGTAAAAAAAAAACTGATATGATATTCTACCATTTACGACATTTTCTACGGTTCATTAGAATGACGCATTATTAAATAAATCATTGAAGATAAGTGAAATAACTTTTGATTTTTATTAAAAAAAATTTTTGGAACCAAATTGTAAAACGTTTTTCTTACTAAAATTTATTGTCGCAGTCATTTAAATGAGTCGCATTGCTTATTATATTAAATAATTTAAAGCATTCTGCTTGGCCTATTAATTATTGCCAAAGACAAGCCCTCGTGACTTAGACCATAAGAACTAACACAAACATAACGAATTCTCAAGAAATTTAAAATTTAATAAAAATATTTTGCCAATTTTTATACGTGTCATCTATTTCAAACAAAATATATATAATAGATAATTAATGTCAAATTAAAATGTTCAAAGCAGCGCCCTGCCTGTCTTCTTCCTTGTAAAAATTTTGGGCGCCAAATACGCACCTCCAACACCACACACTATAAAGAACGTTACGATTTGTGTGCTATGAATGAATGAATATTCTTTATTTTGATTTTAATTCATTTGATTTTTTTATATAAACATCTTTATAACCGTGTGATATTCACTAAAAATGCGTGTAAACAAGCTCGAGATATTTTCTTCAATCATTTATGCAAATAAATTAATTGACACCTCTAAATTAAAGATCATCACGTGTTCTTTACTCATTCGCCGCAGAGTCAAGTCAAAGATTTCGGAAAATGCGTAGTGCTGCAAGACCATTTCGCTATGAAAAGATTACAAGAATCGAAATATTTTTTACGCTAATAGAAGACAATCAAATTGTTATTTCCGTCCTCTTCAAAAAGCCTCTTCAATAGTGAAATCATTCAGAATGGCCTTAGGTTTTTGAACTTTCGTTATTTTATGAAATAATTGTTATTCTCAAATGCGTACGTCTTTCTAAAAACTACTAAAAATAGTAGTTCTAAGAATAGTATATCAATTCATTATTATTTGATTAAAAAAAATCATAACTTCTAGTTGAAATTTCCTAAATTAAAATGGTTTGCTGTCCTATCTTAATTGTCACGCCAACTATCTATTTTTTTCCATGAAATCAAGAACTTTTTTTTTGTGAAATCACCTGCTTCCGGTGAGTAAGCCATTAAGAAAAATTTATTTAAAATTTAAAATTGTCATCATTATAATAATTTTTTAATATCACATTTTAAAAATAATTTTATTACATATAGTATGTGTATTATATATAGAAATATAGGTGGAAGAACTCTCAAATGTTCCCATTTATAAATATGAAATGATTCGTTTTTATTTACTGAGGCATGGTGGTATTAATCACACTTCTTTGTACAGAATATTTATCAAAGGTAAAATATGTACAACAATTAATATATATACAATATATTATTCTCGTCTATATTAATTTTTTTTTAGAATTTTCTTAAGCTTTATCTTAAAATAAATGTGTATGTAAATTTAAAAAAAAAAATTGACGTCAGCTATCTTATAGTGTAATATATAAGTGTACTATATAAGTGTAGTGTAGTGTATATATGACGTAATTCTGATTTCTCTGGAACACTCATTTAACAACGGTTTTTTTTAAATACCACCATTTTGAGCAAGTTTTCCCATTGTGCCAGTGTGTCTCAGCCCAAAACATACTGCAGATGAGAAAAATATTTAATATGTTACCACAAGGTCACAAGGCAAAATTTTAATAATGTCAACTAGTTATTAAAAAAACCTGCACTACGCCATACCTATGTAATTATTGCTTACTTTTCGAAATATGGACTTTAAAGTCGAAGATTTTTACAGAAGATATATCAACCAGATGTTATCAATATAAAAATTTAATGTACTACTTTGCACTAAGTAATCTATTTCTAATTAGTAAAAATGTAAAAACTATAAAAACTATAACTATAAACTTTGCCTTCTCGAGATTTTAGCTGTATTGGCGTAGAAAAAAAGTTGCTAAATATAACTGACTGTACTTAAATCCATTATCAAATTGAGGTCCCTGTGAAATTTAAGTTGAAATACTCATTGTATTAATGAGTCTTATGCACATATGTATTAACATGCAGTATTATATCGAACTATATCTTAAAGACGATTCATTCAAATAGCTTTGATCGTGTAACAGTTTTTAGTCCTTTAAAAATCCTTTACTTGAATGCTTAATATACAAAAAAGTACCCGGATTTTGTAAATAAAACACACAAATTTAAATTTTATTCCAAATTTATTTTATCTCCTTCAAAATATGCTCCTTCCAAAGCGATACACATATGCCAACGCTTAACCCAATCTTCCATACACTTTTCATAAGCCCGTGCAGGTATGGCTTTTAGTTCCTTCGGCGAATTCTC